AACTACAGTTCAGGGAACCCCTTCTGGCACAGGTTCCCCTGGCAGTCTCTGCTCAGGAGTCTCTACTTTGGTGAGCTCTGGTGTTCACCTGTCTGTCTCTCCAATCTTGGGAGTAGTGGTTTGCCCTGTGTCCTCTCCTTTCTTATAGATTCAAGAAGAGTTGCTGATTTTTCAGTTTCTCAGCTTTTTACTTGTTAGGATGGAGTGTTGATGTCCAAGCTCCTTACATGTGGAATTCTACAATATAGAATTGAAGTGGTGAAAGCAGACATCCTTGCCTCGTTCCATGCTTAGTGGAAAAGCATTAAACCTTTCACCATTAAGTTTGATGTTAGTACAGATTTTTCCTAGATACCTTTTATGAAATTGAGGAATTTCCCATATATTCCTAGTTTGTTGAGAGTATTTTCCATAAATGGGTATTACATTTAGTCAAATGCCTTTTCTGCAGCTATCTGACAAATTTCCTGGCTTTTATCTTCTACTCTATTAATATAGTATACTGCACTAATTCAGTTTTGGATGCTAAAACAACTTTGCATTCCTGGTGATGCCGGCTCAGAGAGCCGAGGAGTTGAAAGAAAGATTTCTTGGACTCTCAAGGTCTGGCAGTAGTGCTCTTTTATTCAGAGAATAGTATGGAATAGGATGGGGACAGGACCCACGGGAAGTAAAGAGCTGCAGGCATGGGGACAGGACCCATGGGCAGTAAAGAGCTGCAGGCATGGATTGAGGGTAGGGCTAAATTTAAGGCATAGGTATGTGAGTTATCTTTTTACAAGACAAAGGAAAGAATATGTAAAAGAAAGTCGTTAAAATGGTATGAGTGCAGGTGGGGTCTGGTTATTGGGTGGTCCTATAACTTTAGATAAGAATCAGATCTGATTAAGTCAGGATGTCCTATGCTTCTTGGAGGATGTTGGTGGGGGGGGGGGGCGGCAGTCAGCTACATGAGGTTACCAGACAAGCACAATAAACAAGAGCAAGATCACTATGCAGACTTAAGTCTTTGCTTTCCCCTCTAGAGTTTCTAGAGATAAGGTCATCTCCCCTTCCTCCCGGTACAGAGAGGGAGACACCCGTACAGATGGAGAATTCCCTTACAAATGTAAATGTCTCCCAACAAAGGGCAAGCAAATTCCACTCCTCAGAGCCTCCTTCCCGCCTGCAGTTTTTAAAAGTAATGAGCCCAAAGCAATCCTCATCACTGGGACAAACCCCATTGGTCTTGGTAGATAATCCTTTTTACATGTTGCTGAATTTGGTTCTTCATTCATTTCTGTTGATTTGAGTGAACATCTGCTGTCATTTCTTTTCAGCTTGAAGAACTTCCTTTAGTATTTCTGGTAAGGCAGATCTGCCAGCAATGAATCTTCTGTTTTGTTTCTCTGGAAATGTCTTCATCTATCTTCCTTTTTATAGGATAGTATTGCTGAGTGTGGAAGTTTTCATTGACAGATTTTAGTTTTCCTTCAGCCATTTTACTGCCTATGGGCTCCACGGTCTTGATGAGAAGTCAGCTACTAATTGTACCTTTGTCCCCTTTATGTGATGGGCCATTTTTCTCCTGCCACTGTTGTGGTTTTCTTTCCGTCTCTGGCATGCTAGAATGTGGCTATGTTGTTTATAGGTGTGGATTTCCCTGTGTTTGTCCTACTTGGATCCATGGACCAGTGGTCCTCTGATGCCCTGTCCTGCATCTTGCTGCACTGCCGGCTCTTGAGGAGGAGACCAGGGCAGAGCCTCCTGCTCTGACCACACTCCAGAGGCAGCACTCCCTTTATATCACAGTTTTACTTTTTCCAATTTATTGGTGAATAATTTTGCATTTGGTGTTCTTAGTGATAGAATTTATTTTACTTGCTCCTTCTGTGTCAAAAATACTGAATTAAGCTTGGCTTTGTTGTAGCTTTTCTGTATACACTATAAAGCAGTTTAGAAGAGAAATCTGTTAAAGAGCCACACATATCAAATACATCTTTGATATGTGTGGCTTTAATATATGGATTGTAGCAATTTTGCATATTTTCTCTTTGCATGTCATAGTGTGTGCTTATTTGTATATACAAACCATTTTCTTCTCTCTCCTTTCCATTTTTTTAAATATATAAGTTGTCAGAGGTTAACTTTACTATTTAGTTTTAACATAAGAGCATAAGAGAATATTCAGTGGAACAGTGACAGAATTTGAGGAATAATTAATGTAGCCAATGATAGATTCAGTGACTGTTGGGACTATGCATATGCTCACTTTGGGGAAAGAGTGAGAATTTCTTCACTTGCAATAAGGATGGATGTATCTAGTTAGGTGAAAAGACAGCTCTGTCTTGTTGTATGGAAGTTCGAATGTGTTCTAAAGGATGCATACAAAAGCTGACTATCTAAAGGGTCAAACTCTGCCTGTTTTCCACTTATTGCCTCAGCTCCAAACCCACTTCTCTTTGCCTGCTCCACAATAACGGAGCTGGGTCCCATAAGCATTTCTCTTTTGCAGTTGGCACAATGTTAAGCTTTGACAGTAGAGAATGCTGGATGGTCATTGCTGGAGGAAGGGACTCCTGGTTTAGGTGTGCATTCCTTCTCTTCTTGCTCCTACTGTGCAGCTGTCAGAGGCACGTGTGGAAGACATGCAGTGACGCCACCTCTGTGGATGGCTTCCCCCTGAGCTTCAGCAGCACTCCCGTGGGTGGGTTCCTAGTGAGTCTTGTAGACACCTCAGCAGGAAGTTTTCCAGGCTTAGCCAGCCTACACCTGGAGGGGTGTATTCCTGCCCATAAGCTCTGTTCAGCAACTATGGTGCAGCCGTATCCTGGGCTGCAGCCATACAACTCTCCAACACAGAATGAACTCCCACCTTAGGGAGGGGACCCCTTTCCAAGTTTTGTCCTTCCTTGAATACAGAGTTCTTTACTCTTTTATAGTTAATCCCCTGTTGTCAATAATTTTTATGTGAAATTTTCTCTGTTGAAGTCATTGTGTGGTTTCTGTCCCCTTATTGGACCATAATTATTGATACAACAAAGAAAAACTAAGCAGGGAAGGGGACTATGAAGTGTGTGTGTGTGTGCATGCATGTGTGCACATGTGCATGTGTGTGTGCACGTACACATGTGTGTGCACACATGTATATAGGCTTCAGATTTGAAATAGGGAGCCCAGGGAAGCCCTCACTGAGGAGGGAACAATGGAGTAAGACCTAGGAGACAGGTCACTATGTGCGGCCAAAACTAGAGGAAGAGCATGACAGGATGCAGGGACAGCACGGGCAAGTGGCCTGTGACAGGAGGTTATCATGACTGGAGCCAACAAATGAGGGGCAGAGTAGGGGAAATGAGATCAGATCATGTGGGACCTTGTGGATAACAGCAAGGACTTTGGCTTTCATGGGGGAGGAATGTGATCTGACTTGTTTTCAGTGGATCCCTCTGGGTACTATTCTGATTACAAAGGCTGACCTACAACAAGTAGGCCAGGATAGAAGCAGGGAGCCCTGTTGGGAGGCTGCTGTGCTTCAGGTGAGAGAAACTAGCCTTGGACCAGGGCGTGATGGTGGAGAGCTGGCTGTATTTAGAAGTGGAGGGACTTGATGATGAATCCAGTGTGGGGTGTGAGAGGAGGAGAGAGCCCCAGCTGAGCCTAGGCACTTTGGCCCGAGCACAGGAAGAGCATCAAGATCAGGCAGAGGGTTGCAGGTGCTCACACAGCAGGACAACCAGTGGGAGCATCTCTAGCATCAGGCTCCCTGGCCCTGAGCCCCATTCTGCAACTCAACCCACAGCACCTCCAGCTTCTGCAGGGAGAGGCCTTCGCTTGTAGGGCTGGCAGGACGTTCCTTTTCTCATTGTAAGGCTGATGCTGTTTTACCACCACTTCCTGGAAGTTCATACTACAGAACTTGCCAGAAATCTGCCTTGCAGCATACGGGGGAAAGGTGTTCAGGGGGAGATGTCTCACCAGAGACATTCTGCTATAACGTCGCCCGAGGGAGAGCTGGGGAAGCTGCCGGCACAGGAGCTGGACGCAGGAAAAGAAGAGGGGCAACTGAGGCGGCGCCCCAGCCTGCAGAGCGAGGCCCAGACACGCCCTTTCTCCCGCGACGTCTCTCGCGCCCTCTCCTGGCAAAGCTTAGCAGAGGCGAGGCCCAGACCCATTTTCTCAGAGGACCGCGGTGAATCGGAAGCTGAGAGGCAACAAGTTGCTAACCAGCTCAAGTGTTAGGTATTTCTAAAGTGCTCGACTTCTTCTTCCAACACATTCCCACGGTTCACGCTGACACCTGAAATAATTCTCACTTTAGAGATTAGTTTGAATTAATTCCAACAAATGTTAAATGGGCACATATTTTCAAGCGCAAAACCGTGCAAGAACCCCTTGGGGCACCTGGAAAAAACAAGTCTGGGGCTGCTGCCCAGGAGCCCCCAGTCCAGTTAGGAAGCAGGAGTGGAGGAGAACCTCCGCTTGGTATGGGGGCTGACCACTGTTCATTCTTGCCGACCATGTCCACGCCACATGCCCACGGAATTCAGGAGACACCCAGCTGCCCCAGGAGGCGGGCCTTCAGGCGAAGGAAGGCCCCAGAGAACCGGAAGACCCCCGCCCCGCTGCTGTGGCTTCCTCAGATCCTTTCGCGCGCCTGGAGGGGTCGTTCTGTGGCTGACGTTGCTTTGGAAAGTTTATTACCTCAACGCACCGTCCCGTAAAAAGTTAATTATGCTTGTGTAGAAACTCAGCAACACCCTGCAGAGAAAAGGGAAAGGAGAGTGCGGCGCGCCGCCCCGCCCCGCTCCTCACCCCGCCCCGCTCCTCGCCCCGCCCCTCTCCCCGCCCCGCTCCTCGCCCCCCCGTCCACGTGAGCGCGCCCGCCCCGGCCCGGACCCCGCGCGAACGTGCGCGCGCCCGCGAGGCCCCGCCCCCGACGCACGCGCCCGGGCGCCGCCGCCATTTTGAAGCGACGCGAGCGCCTTCCGCAGCCCGAGCCCATCGCGAGCCGCCGGCCGGCCCGCGCCGTGTCCGTGGGCGCCGTGTCCGTGGGCGCCGCGCCGGGCCGGGCCCATGTGCGGGCGGCCCGTCCCAGGCCGCCCGGGCTCCGCCTCCGCCAGCGCCCTGGCCCCCGCCGGGGCCTCCGAGGAGCCGCCGCGTCGCCCGGCCCGTGGGGCAGGTGAGTGAGGCCGCCGCTGCGGCTCCTCAGACCGCGCCCCTTCCTGTCGGGGCCCCAGGGTGTCCACCCTAGAGCCCATGCCGCGTCACTGCCCCGTCAGTGTCCACCCCCCGTCAGTGTCCACCCCGTCAGTGTCCCTCCTGTCAGTGCCTCTCGTCGGTGTGCCTGCATCAGTGTCCCCCGTCAGTGCCCCCTGTCAGTGTTCACCTCCTGTCAGTGCCCCGTGTCATTGTCCCCCATGTCAGTGCCCCCTGTCAGTGCCCCGTCTGTGTCCACCCCCTGTCAGTACCCTGTCAGTGTCCACCCCGTCAGTGTCCCCCGTCACTGCCCCCTGTCAGTGTCCACCTCCTGTCAGTGCCTCTTGTCAGTGTCCCTGCATCAGTGTCTCTCATGTCAGTGCCCCCTGTCAGTGTCCACCTCCTGTAAGTGCCCCCGTCAGTGTCCCTGCATCAGTGTCCCCCGTCAGTGCCCCTTGTCATTGTCCCCCATGGCAGTGCCCCCATCTGTGCCTCCTGTCAGTGTCCACTTCCTGTCAGTGCCTCACGTCAGTGTCCCACGTGTTAGAGTCCCCCCGTCAGTGTCCACCCCCTGTCAGTGTCCACCTCCTGTCAGTGCCCCGTGTCATTGTCCCCCATGTCAGTGCCCCCTGTCAGTGCCCCGTCAGTGTCCACCTCCTGTCAGTGTCCCGTCAGTGTCCACATTGTCTCTGCCCCCGTTGTCCACCTCGTCAGTGTCCACCCCCCTGAGTGCCCACCCCATCAGTGTCCACCCCATCAGTGCCCTCCCCGTCAGTGTCCCACATGTCAGTGCCACCCCCGTGTCCCCCAAGGCAGTGTCTGCTGCTTCCCCCACGTCCTCCCAGTCGGTCTCCCACATCAGTGGCCCCCAAGTGCCTTCCTGTCCTGTCAGTGTCACGTGAGTCAATGCCTCTCCTCCTTGTGAAGTGCCCTCGGCTCTTTCAGTGACCCTCACTCTGTTAGTGCCCTCCTTGTTAAGGTCCCTCCTCCGTTTTGTGCTGCCAGGTCCCCCATGTCAGTGCCCACCCCGTCTGTCCCCCCGTCGGTGCCCCCCTTGCCTGTCGAGGTCCCCGTCAGCCCTTCCCTTCCCCCTCCTCACTGCTTCCTCCCGCACCCTGTGCTGTTAGGGACCCTTCCCAGCAGTGCCCCTCACCTGCCAGTGCTGCACTCCTGCCTGTGGGACAGAGGACACTCCCCTCCCAGGGCCCCTGTAGTCACTCCCTGTCCACTCATTAACTGCCGTTCCTATCTGCCTTCTGTCCCCTCCCCCCAGGGACCTTCTTGGCCCCCTTGAATGCTGCCCCACCCGTCACTCTGATGTCTCCCACACACCCTCACCTGCCACTTTGTGTCCTTTGTAGCCTCACCACCTGCGCTGTCCACCCACTTGTTGCTGCTGCTCCCTGCCCTGTCACTACCAGCTCAGCCGGTCTGTCACTTGGGCTTAGTTCTTGCCTCTCACCGCCCCCCGCCCCCAGTCTTATCACTGTACCTGTCTGTCTTGTCCTTGTGGCCTTCTCCAGCCTGTTACTCTTTGACCTTGCCTGTCACTTCCCCCATGACTTCTCCCTGCCATGCCCTTGGCCTTTTAGTGCCTGGACCATCACTGACTCTCTCAGCCGTTCGCCTCTGCTCCATGTCCCTTCCTTTCTGATTTCTCTTCCCTTTTGGCTTCTTTAACTCTCATGTTAGCTGAGCTCTAGAAGGTGAGAAGCTGCTAGCCATGAGAGGAATGGGGGGACAGAGCCTTCCAGGCTGAGGGGACAGCAAGTGCAAAGGCCCTGAGATGGACCTCCTCCAGGAACCTAGATAAGACCCATATGTGGCCAGGGCAATAGGGAGATAGATAAGAGCCCGGGCTAGAGTAGTGGCCTCCAGACATGCTGTTCCTTGCAGGTCGTGAGGGGACCTGGGCTGCAGATTGAGTGCCCTCATCAACATGGGGCATGCATAAGAGCCGGAGAGAGAAGGCTCTTTTGGGGGTCAAGCTGTTGGGACTTGCTGGTAGATTAGAAGAGGGGTTTGCGGGAAAGAGAGGACTCGGTAATTTCCAGGCTTCTTGATGAAACAAATGAGTGCACCATGGCGCTGTGTACTGAGAGGGGGCCAGGTGGCGTGGTGGGCACGGGGAGTTACTACAGACTGGAGGTGGGAAGCCAGGCTCTCTCTTGGCCGAAAGTAGTGGAAGAAGTCTGTCACGTCCAGCGGTTGGCAAGAAGATAGCTCACAGAAGAATTCGAGGCCCAGAGGAGAGGTCAGGCTGGAGGCGGATGGTCTCCGCATGGGGATAATGTGTAAAGCCTTCGGAATAGCTGCTTATTCACACATACAGCAGAACGGATGGATCACTTGTGTGCTGCTGTGTTAAATGCTTTATGTGAATGATTCCGTTTAATCCTCACAAGAACCCTAGGGTGTGGGAACTGTTGTTTCCTTGTTTTACAAAGGAAGAAACTGAGGGACACAACAAATAGGTGATAGAGCCAGGATTGTCCCCAGCAGGCTTACTAAAGCCTCCCCTCTCCCTGCCTTTGTTTTTGGTTAAGGAAAAGCCTAACTTTTAAAATACTGTTTAAAAAAATTTTTTTTTAAAGATTTTATTTTTCCTTTTTCTCCCCAAAGCCCCTCAGTACATAGTTGTATATTCTAGTTGTGAGTGCCTCTGGTTGTGCCGTGTGGGACGCTGCCTCAGCATGGCCTGATGAGCGGTGCCAGGTCTGCGCCCGGGATCTGAACCGGCAAAGCTCTGGGCCACTGAAGCAGAGCACACAAACTTAACCACTCGGTCACGGGACTGGTCCCCCAGGCACTTTTTAAAGTGCATTACCTATACCATCTTATTTATTCCTTTCTTTTTTAAACAAAGTGCTTTACCTTTTATTATCCTTTTATCCTTGTGAGATGTAACATTCATTTTGACATAAAGTGGATTTGTGACTTGTCCAGAATTTACTATAAACCGGAGAGTGAAAACCGGTGCTGAATTCTACATTTTGACATGTAGCCCAGTAATCATGTAATTCTTTTTTTTTTTTGGCTGAGGATTTTTGCCCTGAGCTAACACCTGTTGCCAGTCTTCCTCTTTTTGCTGAGGAAGGTTTGCCCTGAGCTAACATCTGTGCCAGTCTTCCTCTGTTTTGTATGTGGGTCTCCACCACAGTGTGGCCACTCATGGTTCGTGTAGGTCTACTCCAGGGATCCAAATCCAGGTGGCTGAAGTGGAGCACGTGTACTTCACTTGGCCATGGGGCTGGCTCCCATTTAATTCTTTTCTTTTTTTTTTTTTTGAGGAAGATTATCCCTAAGCTAACATCTGCTGCCAGTCCTCCTCTTTTTGCTGAGGAAGACTGTCCCTGAGCTAACATCCGTGGCCATCTTCCTCTACTTTATATGTGGGACTCCTACCACAGCATTGCTTGTCAAGCAGTGCCATGTCCGTACCTGGGATCCAACAGACAAACCCTGGGCTGCCGAAGCGGAACATGCAAAGTTAACCACTGTGCCACTGGGCTGGCCCCCCATTTAGTTCTTAAAACAACTTGCGGCTGGCCCAAGCGGGGGCCAGCGGTTAAGTTCACATGTTCTGCTTCAGCAGCCCCGGGTTCGCTGGTTCAGATCCTGGCCGTGGACCTACACATCGCTTGTCAAGCCATGCTGTCGCAGGTGTCCCACATATAAGTAGAGGAAGATGGGCATGGATGTTAGCTCAGGGCCAGTCTTCCTTAGCAAAAAGAGGAGGATTGGCAGCAGATGTTAGCTCAGGGCTAATCTTCCTCAAAAAAACCCAAAAAACAACTTAATGAGGTAGTTACTCTTAATATTCCTGTTAATATTCATATGAGAACACTGGGGCACAAACAAATTAAATTACATACCCAAGGCCACAGTAAATAAATGGGAGAGTCAGGTGGTCAGACTCCAGAGCTTATCCCTTTCGCTGTTGCCTCCTGTGGGTGCTCATGCACGTGGTAATCTGAACTCAGAATAAGATTCAGAAGGTACCAAAGTGTGGGTGGTGAAGGCGGTCTCATTCTTACCCTGTCCCTCACCATCCTCTTCCTCTTGGAAGTCACATCATATCCATATACAGCAAGCAGCCCTCTTCTTTTTAACACAGAATATACAATCTTTTATTTCTTTAAAAATGTTCCACTTTAAAATTTAAAATTATTTAAAATTTAAAATTATTTAAGAATTTAAAGCTATTGAAGAACATTTTACACCCAATGAAATGTACAGATCTTAAGTATATAAGTTTGATGAATTTTAACAAAGGTACACACCAGTGTGTCCATCACTCATGTCAGTATATAGAACATTTTATCACCCCTCAAAATTTCCTGTGTCCCTTTTCAGTTACAGCAGGCCCCCCCCAATCCCAAGGCAACCATTGCTCTGATTTCTATCATTATAAATTAATTTTGCAGGTCATCAAACTTCATATAAATGGAATTGTAAAGTGTATACTCTTTTGTGTCTATTTTTACTCAATGTAATGTTTTTGAGATTTGTTGATTTTGAAGCGGTCCCTGTAGTTTGTGCTTTTTATTTGTGTAATTTTCTTTTGTGTGAAAATATCTTAATTTATTTCTCTCTTGTTGATGGACATTTGGTTTGCTTTTGCTCTTTGGCTATTATATCTAAAGTCACTGAGATTCTTGTACATGTTTTGTGGACATATGTTATTTCTTTGGAGTATGTATCTAGGAGTAGAATTGCTCAGTCATAGTATAGATGTATGTTTAACTGTTTTAGAGACTGGCAAACGGTTTTCCAAACTGGTACCATTTTACACTCCCGCCAGTAATATATAAGAGTTCCTGTTTCTCCACATCCATGTCAACGCTTGATATTGTCAGTCTTTTTAATTTTAGCCATTCTGGTGGTAGTGGTATCTCTGTGTGGCTTTAATTTGCATTTCTCTGATGAATAACAGTGGTGAACAACTTTTCATGTGCTTGTTGACCATTTGTATATCTCTTG